AACGTGACAGTGCCGATTTTCACAGGGATGTAAGAAATGCCAAATGTCTCCGGCTGAAGACGCTACAAAATCGGGAGTATACCCGAGTTCGATAGTGGAAGTACTTCAGCCTCATAATTTGTTCACGTAGAAATGGAATTATTCAAGGAGTAAAGTGTATAAGTCGCATATGTTTCCCTGGTGTATATTTGTTCGTTCTAAACTCTTTCTAGTTTATGCACACGCCTTTATTTTCTCCCTGGAAGACTGATTTTTCATTATTTTTTGACTACTTGAATGCATTTAGCGATTAGGTATATGCACCACACCTTTTTATTGATCATTTCAAGTAAATAGTGCACTATATGACTAATGAGTAGACAAATTTTGTGCACTAGATGTTATATTCGAATAATGCACAGTAATCGAGGAGTCTGGCCAAACGCAGGCTTCTAATAATCATAGTACAGTAGCTGAAATGGAAGAGTTAATACTATTCAATGTGAAATGTGGTAACATGATTTTATGACTAGATACGCTTTAAAAGACAATTGGTCGCGTAAAGGGAACTAAGATATTTGTTTGAATTAAAAAAGAATGTGATTGTCCAGACATCTGAACGGACTTTGTTTCTAATTAGTTCTATGTAATAACCTAGCGAGATAAAGAACAGTTCATTTGGGATTGTTCATAGTGTGAGGACATTGCTTGAATTTTTACCATCCCTTACCGAAGAAGCCTTACTCATCACTTTTATGTGACGGAGTTGTTTCCCTACAAAAATGAGAGGCCGAAAAGTTAATCTCTGGTTATAACCGGGTCATTAAACCACTGGCAGTTCACATAGGGCAAAAAACCCTTGATTTCAAACCAACCAAGAAGAAGCGTACTGACCACGCACATCTGACTGTGGTAGTGGTTACCGGCTTGATTAAACTTCATGGTGTATTGTGCACTTTGGACGTTTGAACCGCTATTCTGCGGGCAATTAGAGGTCTTCTATCACTTCTGACAACGACCTTGCACCGACTCTCTTTTTGTAGCACTGTGGATTCCAATTAAAGGGGGAATCCTCTTCGTAAAAGGGAGAGTAGGGAAACATTCACGTAAAATCTAGCCTACCTATTCTGCGTGTAGAAAATGAAAGGTTAGCCGAGGGAAAAACAGTGGGTGGGGAAAGGATGTTCTACAATATGGCAGTTCGGCGGGAAACAGAAAAGTAGAACATCTAGTGACCAAAATCGAATAAGGATTTCTAGATGCCTGCGTACGGGATGGGTGGGCAAAAGTACTAGGACGGGAAACTGCTGAGGTAAGCTCTGGGGAGCAAAAAACAGTCGTAGCTGTAGAAAAAGGACAGTAAAGCGACTACCTGACTGTAGGCTAGGGACCGCAGATTGGTGGTTAGAGAAGCATCGATCAGTCGGATGACCTTTCGTTAGACACGACCAAGAGAGGAAAAAATAAGAAGCCACAAATTACTTGACTGCAGTTTTCAAGACTAGAGCGGTTTGGGGCTTTGTACATTTGAAGCTGAGCTGCGGGTGAAGAAGAGTTTAGCGCGAAATCTTAAGTATGGTTGGGGGTGGGTGTCTAGGGTTGCGGCTGCTCATTCTGCTCTTGCACCTCACGAGATGCCCCCATACGACCAAGCGTCTCAAATAGCCTCTGCTGAGGAAGCCCTACTCACTGCCTTCTCGCGGCGGAGGTGTTTTCCCACCAAAGTGAGAGGACGAAAAGCCGATATCCGGGGCTATAGCCGGGTTGGTGGACCACTGGCAGTTCACCTAGGGGAGTTGGCCAAAAACCCTGATTCCAAACCAACCATGAGGAGACGTACGAACCACACCCACACCTTTCGGTTGTGGCAGTGGTCACCGGCTCGATTGGGCATTGAGGTGTATTGGGCACCTTGGACGTCTGACCCCGTC